GACTGACTTCAGGAACAAACAAACCAACCATTTAACTGATCTTAATGATCAACCAATCTGACTGCACTGTAACATGAGAATCTCACTGATACACACTGGTATAACCAGACAGAGAGACTAACCTCTTTTGGAATGTATATATAAAAAAAAAAAATAATGTTTCCAGAAAGGATGACAATGAATATATTTCCAGCACAAGTACTGATTGGCAATTTTATGATCTCCTCTTTAAATAGTTATTATTATAATAACAATGTATAAAAATTACTAGTATTGCAAAACAAACTCAGCTCACTAGGTTAAACAATTCAGCCTCAACCTTTTACACCCTACCGATCAGTATTCATATTCTCCATATTCTACTCAATACACTTCCTTTGTTATTGACAAGAAGAATTTGCTTAACAATCAAAGTTCCTTAAGTTGATGATCATTTCCTTTATTCTGGTGATCTTACTGAAGGATTCAGCAGTATCATTCTATGGAGAAATTAGATGCTGGTTGCTCTTAGGGCACAAAGGGTTAAAACAGTCTGGAGTGAATATGATGGTCACTTACATGCATATGGTACAAAAAATCTACAACATGTGTACAGTAGGTTTAATACAGAACTGTTTATTCGCAAATCAAATGTGATCCGACAACACTAAAAAAAGCTCCCAAAACCCTGTTTACCTTCTTTAAAGTTCTACTAATAGCCTGCCATCCTCTGATCTTTATCTTGCTGTTGTATGCCATGTTAAGGTTGCATGTTGATTTGTAGTATTCAATCATTTCCAGCAATGAAACAGCACCCTACAAATAACCAGGCCATTTTGTTCACAAAATAGAAAAACAATGATGAATTTCAAAACAAAATAATAATTGTAATTTATTTCCAAATACTACGTTAAGGATAGAACAATAAGTGAAAACAGAGCCTCTTCTACGATCAATTTCAAGGAATGGAAAATGACTGCTTGAGTGCAAAATTCCTTTTTCTATTTTTTCTCTACAACCAACTGCCATTGTCTGGCATTGCCACACAGCAAGGGAAGGTTAAGTCAGCAACATTGAGCCAAGTGGCCAATGTGGTTGTAGCTTATCCTAGTTTCCAAGGAGCTACACAGAGTATAGACAAAATAATTCCCCTTAACAGATGCCAGTCCATTAAAGGCTACCCCCTGCAATTTGCTAAGCATTCGCCATAGTTCACTGATTCCCATTTACACTCCTGGGTGGAAAGAGACATGGTAAGAGACATGGTAAGAGCCTAAGATAATGACACAATGACCCCAGCAGGTCTCAAACCCAGATCGTGGCTTGAAATACAATGACTACAATAGATGCCACCTCTTGTACAATTTACATGACAAAAAATCAAACCCAAAGGAACTCACATCATCCTCAAGTCCTGTGTTCTCAAGATCCAATGTCTTAGTTCTCACTCTTCTGAACACCTCCTCCAGAGCCTCACAGTTCCGTAGGTCTAATTTAACACCTACAGGGTAAAGGAGCTGTTAACGGCTGCAGTAGAAACTGAAATTTTTACAGTCAATCATAACAAAAATTTTTGACAGTCTATCTACAGTTACGATACCTCTCAAGTCGATCACATCTATTCTGTCCGCAAAACTCTCACAAGCCTGAGTAAAAAGAATGATTTTTATGAGTCAAAGGAATGGATGCTTGTGAAAGAGGAGATTCATGACAGTATCTTTGACCTAAATGTATTAAACCAACCTGTGCTTCTGGTTTAAAATAACCAAATTTTTACCATGACTGTCTTGATTACAGGTTATGCAAAAATTCTAACACTAGGCTACCACAAGTCTCTTACAGCTCAGTGGTAGGGCATCTATAGTACTAATTACAGGTTGGTCCTAGGTTCAACTCCTACAGGGAACACTCAGAGTTCTTTTTTCTGAGTATGTCACTGAATAAGGTCACCTTTCACTTGGAGACAAATTGACTCAATCCCACATCTGAGGGGCACTGTGTACACAATTTATAATTTACTGGCAGATAACATGTATTTATTAAAAACTGGATCATTGGATAATGCACTTCAAGACTTTTTATTGGCTTAGCCATTATGGTGTATGAGCCAATAAACCATAATCTAATATCTGTACATTGTAACATCCGGTTTCTTCTTACAAAATAAAGTCGAGAAGATTTGTCTAATATCTTGGGGGTGTTTTTTTTTTAATAAAACAATTATTCCACTCGGATATGAGATGATTATAGCCAACTCGGTGCTACGCACCTTGTTGGCTATCTATCAGCTCATATTCAACGTACGCTTGTGGAATAATTGTTAAAGAGCAAGGGTTGACACTGAGTGCAGGCTGCCAATGAGATTTGCTGAATAGAAAAGCAGCGATTGCCAGCTGGATTTTTGGCCAGAAATCCCTTAGTAAAGCACAATGGGTACTTCTAAGGCTACACACTTACAGTCGTTCACCACCTTTGAGCAACCTCAGTGGAAATTTCATCTGGCAGCATAATTTCTTAACTACAACCGTAGGGAGCATGAGCTAATTCACTGTAAACAGGTTCATGCATGGAGTATCAAAATACACAGAGGCAAAAAGACTATCAATAATACCTCGAGCTGTTTAATGAGCTTTTCACAAGGTTTAATCTTCAGTCTAATGCATGTACTTCTATAAGCATCTATTACTTCTTTGCTGCTGTGATGTCCAGCTGAAATGTAAGCACATTATGACAAATTTAATTTTAAGAAGAGAGGACAGGCAGAAGATTTTTTGAACTGATAGCAAGGATGGCAAGTATTTTAAGGGAAATTCAAAGAGAAAGCAAACTTTGCTTTTTGGAGCGGTGGATTCATTCATTCAAATATGCCAATCAACCTGGTATTAATTGGGTTTCAATTTATCAATAAACAAATGAAAATGAACAAATATATGCATTTGTAAATAAATAACATTGATCAATGCCAAAATTGGACTCAGGTTAAGGTACTAATTTTGTACTGCAAACATCCTTCTGGCCTTGGCTGTATCTATCAAGTAACTAAAGAGCCGGCCTTCAATTTCCCTATCAATCCTTATTTTAGAAAATGCTAATGATGTGGGTTTTTCATAAACAGCATAGTGCTAAAGGTTCATATGCCCTTCAAAATTTTCAACAGGGGAAAGTGCACCAGACCGTATATGACAGTTTGCAAAGAATGCAAGGAAATCATTTGGCAGATGCCGTGAATGTCACACACAAAAAACAAAAAACAAAACAGACTGACGTATATAAGAACGATCCTTCGCAGTAAGATCCTCTAAGAAATCCAAACCCTGCTATTTGCCATAAGCTTTTAAGAGGTGTTTTTTTTCCATGGGGATTAATTTGTTTGACGACCACAAATCAATTATGTCCTGTAGGAATCCACTGAGCAATTTGCCCATTCAAAATTTTCAAACTTGCTTGTTTAATTAAAAATATCAATGCATTTCATTAGGAAAAGAGTTCCACTGGATTCAATAACTAAGAGTTTTACGCCCACGCCCCTTCAAAATCTATCATGAATATAAATGAAGACTGAGTACTTTTGGTTTCTGAATGCTTGATTTTGATCACTGGTTATTACAAGTGTAATCAAAATGGTCAAGCCTCCACAGATACATCTAACTCTGATGATATCTTCAAAAATTTTTGTCATTTTTATTTCATTCAGAAGATGAACCGATTTTTTGAATTGTTGACACTTTCTTAAGTAATATTTTCAGCGGAAATGCAGTAAGGGGCCTGAAGGTTTCTTCATTAATCCCAAACAAAAAGTGGAATATTATGTCATAATTTGACCAGTTTCAGATTTCCATAAATGTAGGACTGTAGTAAAATGATGCGCTTCCAGATTTTTTCAATCCCCGTTCCAAGAAAAATACAAGAAACCTTTCTGAGAAAGGCAGTAAAATTCCCATTTTATCATTGCGGTTTAAACAAATCAAGTTCTAAAGAATATACAACCACCACAACGAACGTCTGCTTATCAAATGAAAAAATAACGTACATGTTCAAGCAATTAAAAATATACCGCCTGAACCGGAAATTTTTTTATTTCTACAAATATTTCGTGATTTTCTCTTTAAGATTTTCGCTCGATGTCGTTTACAACTTTAGGAAAAATGCCAATACTGATCCATTAAGCTTTTGAAGCATATAAATGAATTTATAAACGAGATTTAAAGAGCGAGAAGTTCATTCCCAATTACAGCCCATTACAAATGACTAAAATGTTACGCTCTCTGCTATACTCAAAACAAAAACGAGTGATAACGAAAAAGTTCTTCGACCCGGCTTTGGGGGAAAATCGTTTTCAGAAAATAAGCGTTGCATATAAACGAACAAATTTTCAACACAAGCTGAGTCACGCAAATTGGAGCTCACTGATTTAAAGCACGAAGACCAATATTTACATTTTTTTATGTCACTCTACAGAGTGAAGGCACTTTGAATGAGCTCAACTAAAATCTAAATTGGCGCAAATCTCTAGGCATACATTGATGTGTACATCCACATTAAATGAAATTATCGAGTGCTTTGAACTAACCATTTGCCCACGGGTCAACTGGGTCCACAGCCCGGACTAGAAAGGCATCTTCAGGGAAGGAAACCTTTCTTGAAAGCTTCTTCCTACGACTGGTTCGGTGATCCAGCCGACAGGCAGCTTCACGTAAACCGCCTTCGCAATTACTCGGTCCACCTCGAGTACCTTCTTCCGATGCCAAAACATCCTCACCTGTTTCCATAATTACTCATGGCTTTAAAATCAAATCCATCATAAGTTAGTATCAATGTAATAAAACCAAGGAAACTTCCTGTTTTCCAGTACCGAGCCTCAACTTCTCGAGGGAGCCATTTTGAAAGACACCCGTGACGTGGAAGACTGGGATTGAATCACCGTCCTTCGTCGTGCGTTCCGTGACACGTTCTAAGCGTTACGCGTCGGTAACGTGAAAGTGATAACTCGTGATGACACGATATACCCAGCCTGGAGCTCTTTGAAAGGTTACCATGCATCGCATTATAGGCCATAAAACGTACGATATTTCGCATTCTAGTGTTTGATACAGGTCCAGTTTCACATCTCAAACTTTTCGTGCCATATCCCATCCTATCCTGACTTCAAAGCCCAATTCAAAATAATTGTCTCATTTAACTTGATACAAGATTCATTTTTTTCCCGAAGCACCTCATAGGGCCGGAAGCTAAAATCTTCGAATCTGATTGACTTATCTTTCACTCGTAATACTATGATGGATCACGATCACTACTGTCTACAATTCTTTTTCGGTGCCATTCGCATCAAAGCAAAAACAAAGTTATTGCGCTTCGAGATGCTAACAAATTCATTTGTCACATCAAGGATAAATAAAGGAAACAGTTCTGTTTCATGGGTTTGTTTTGAAAACGCAAGTCTAAATGAAGTTCGTGAACATGCTACCAGATTCATTCATACTTTTTTCACACTGCTAGCGTTTTCAATGACTTTCGTTAAATTATTGTTCATCATTTTTCAACCTGTGTTCAGTTAGCTTTACTTCATGGGCTACCTGTCATTGTTGTTGTTGACGTTCAGAACTCCCTTTCTTGCCAAAGCAACATATTGCGTGAAGAAATTTTGTGTCACTTACACCAGGTAGTGAAAGCTATTACCCACACTTCCTTGCAAGTACACACTAATTTTACGCCATTTTCTCTGATTATCTCTCTGGTGTCCTAGCTGATGTTCTATAAGCAGAGCCCTTTTGCGGGCAGAGTAGTCTCTGCTGAAGCTACTACCGCTTACCAACCGCAGGTAAAGTATTAACTATCTGACAATCTTTAGTCAGATTGTTAAGGGCTCACACAAAGCAATTTTTAAAATATATCAGTTTTTAAATGTGGTTTCTCAACTTCAGATAACATTCAGTTGTCGACCCGGGTTGATTTTATAGGGACTTGGGAAATATTCAGAGCCTAAACCAGGTCCAGTTTTCGAGAATCCAATGTCTTCCTCTTCAGGAATTTCTGGAGAAAACAGCGTTCGTCACTGGCAGGATACTTTTAAGGTAATTAAAGAAAGTAGTCGTAGACATCTCGACGATATATAACTTAGCTTATATCAACGACCATTAAATATTGGCTCTTCTTGGGTGGCTCGTGTGATGAGACGAAAACGTCTTCACTTCAAACAAACTGTTTGAAGTACAGGATAACACGAAAGATCAAGTCGCAATTGTTTTTAGTTTTGCATCAGTTTGGTTGAATCGTCATCTTTTAAAGATGATGCGAGTTTCACTGACAAATTATAGAGTAAAGTTGGTGAAACCAAAACAATCCCTGATTACCTACGACAGTGTTATTTAGCACAACACATCCTTGCCACAAATCATTTTTAGAGGGAGGGGTAGTCCATACAAGATACATGCCCCCGAGGAACTGACCAACTTAGAATCATTAAGTTACCAGAGATGAGGTGAACCAATGGTTTGCACCATGGACCCATAATTAACTAGATATCAAACATTTTAACGTATAAAGTAAGAAGAATCATCAGTGACTATGTGTACAAAGAGTTACACCCAAGGATAAAAGTAGCTACAGCTATTTTTTTTTTTTTTTTTTTTTTTTTTTTTTTTTTTTTTTCCCATAAGAATGTCAAATTTTGGGCCTGGGGCTGAAGCTTCTCATTATTTTGCGATTTGAGTCTGAAATGTTCTTAACATGTTCTAAAGTTGTGTTGTATAGTATTTCATAAATCAATTGGGATTTGATTTAATTGTGGTGTTGACCACAATTTTACATTTCTTTTACCTTTATTTATACTTCTCGCAAAAAGAAAAAAAATGATGAAAATAAATAAATTTTCAATGGACTCTCAGTCTGGGGATGTTCTTAGTATGTTCTTAATATTATGATAAATCTCAGCCTGAATGTTCTTGTAAAAAGGGTTCTTATACTAAAATAAAAGTGTACCTTGACCACTCAAGCAAGGTGGCTTATCCAGGCTTCCATGGCATGAAGCTACAAGGGGTATCCAACCTACCCACCCTCCCCCCCTCTTGGATGGGATACCACTCCATCACAAGGCTACCCCCTCCTCCCACATTTCACCATGCTTCCCTGATAATTTGCCACAATCCAATTATACCCTGGGTGTAGAGAAGCATTGTGAGAGTAAGGTGTCTTTCCCAAGAAGACAACACATTAGTTTTGTCAGGTCTCCAACCCAAAACCCTCAAACCAAAGTTCAGTGGATAAGGTCATCTTGTCTCCCATTCATGTTTTATACACTATGATAATTCATAACCTATAGGTTAGCTCAACACTAAAACTTTACTGCTTTCAACACCAGGTGGTTTAACTTCTAACAATTTCTTGTTGATTTATTCTTGGTTTTGATAGCAATCCAAAGCTCCGGTGTATCTTCTGAGGGGTACAAGGGATAAGGTTATCTACAGGGGCCTTATGGGTGTCCTTCCTGTTGGAATGGGTGTTGCAGCCTACTACTACTACATGATGTCCACTGGTAAATTGAAAAGGAAGGAGAGATGAAACTGATTGGAATCCAAGTCAATTTTCCTCATTTAAAACTTCTTCTGTCAACATTTTTGCATTTTCGAAAGAACTTTAGTTACTGCTTTGATTGTCCAAGTGGATGGTGGTCAAAATATTTTCATTCTCTGGTATTATTTTGGTTCAGAGTTGTTGTTCAAACCTGATTAAGCATTAATTTCTAATGTAAAGATGTCTCATTTGAAACAACTTTATGCTTTAGTTTACTCTACGCGAGGTTATTGATAATAATAAAGTACATTTAACTACCTGCATAGCAGTTCTTCTTTGGCATTTGTGTAAAGTAATGTATAGTAGTACTTGCAATAATGAAAGAAATTCATATAGTCATGAGATGTATTATGATACTAGCATTTCTTTCAGTGGGATGCACAGTTGTCAATTATTTTCTAAATTGGTAGTTATTCACAGAGTAGTTGTGAGGCAAAGGATGAATCTACTACAGTCGAATCCCGACAACTCGAATCCTCGTTAACTCGAGCCTCGCGTTAACTCGAACCTCGCGTTAACTCAAACCAAAATCGATTTACGGCAATTCTACCCAAGATAACTCGAACCTCTCACTTGTTCGGTGCAATATTCGTTTCCCTTTAGGTCATTCTCTATATATATTTACCCTCGATAACTCGAACGGCACGTCGAACTACGTCTGTCAGTACGTGCCAAAATCAAAACAAATAGTCGACTGCAGTTCAGAACATTTACGTTCCGTTACGTTATGATTTATGTAGTTCAGGGTTTCATTTTCATGCGACCCCTCTATAATTAATTATAATAATAATAATAAACAATCTTTAAGGAGGAAGTGCCCGTCACGTAAATACGTGGTTTTCAGGGAGGTCCTCCGTAAAAATAAAAAGTATTAAAAGCCAAAATAAGAACTACAATTGTCACAGATCTAAAACGGCGTATATCTAAAGTTTTATCCATCATTTAAAATATTTATCCATTAAGAATCTTGTAAGGGTTTCCTTAAAAATTGTGCATGGCATTGGCCTTCTTAAAAATACTGGGAGGGACATCCAGTCATTTATAAAACGGAAGTAGGACACCCTCTTTCCGCATTCCGTTTTAGGTTTAGGCAGTCTAGGTAAGTAGCCATTTCTGGTGTTGTAGCCATGCGAACTTCACAATGTTGATTTAAAACTTTCAAAATGTTGCGGAATTTCTCCTTTGATTGCATTTTCTACGGTGGTACAACGATGAAATAGACGTCTTCCAGCCAGAGGGAGCCAATTCAGACACTTCAGAGCTTCTGAAGAAGACATCTTGCCTAATTTAATTTTCTTCGCAAATTTGTTCTGAAAACTTTGCAATTTTTCCATTTCTGATTTTAGACCGGGTAGATCTCCCCACAGTGTGTCGGCATAGTCTAGGTGTGGCAGCACTAGCCCATTGTAGAAGGCTATGCGAGTTCTATTGTCTAACATGAAATATGCGATTAAACAAAGAAAGACGATGACCTAATTTCTTTACCAAATTGCTTATATGTGGCTTCCAGCTCCATTTTGCATCCGTTGTCACTCCCAGATATTTGAATGACTGCACGCGATCGATTTGTGTACCATTTGGTTGCAACTCAAAGTCTTCAAATAAGGATAGCATCCTTTTACTGCCTGCCAGCATAAATTTGGTCTTCTTAACATTTATAGTCAACCTGTTATCAGTGTACCAGTTACTGATTTCAGTGAATTCACGTTCCAGAGCAATTTGAAGTTCTTGACGTGTTGATGCGTCACAAAATAGAACAGCATCATCTGCATAAAAAATCATCCGGGTCTCTTTAACAGCATTTGGCAGGCTATTAATGTACACATTAAATAGCAAGGGACCCAAAATGCTGCCTTGTGGCACGCCAAGTGTGATGGTATGTGGCTCTGATAATTCTCCGTTTATCAAAACACTTTGCTGTCTATGAGCAAGATATGACCTGAACCATCTTAAAGATCTTTCAGGCAGTCCTAAATGCTCGAGCTTGCGTAGTAGCACTTTGTGGTTCAGAGAGTCAAACGCCTTGGAAATATCGACAAACAGTAGACCAGTTACTTTACCTTTGTCTATAGATTGAAGAACCCAGTTGTTCAATTTCGAGATAGCTTGTTCAGTGCTATGCCCACACCTAAAGCCATACTGGTGTTGATACAGAAAATCTAGCTGATGTAGATGGGCATTCAACTGGGAATGTACCACTCTTTCTACGACTTTACTCAATAATGACAATACAGAGATAGGCCGATAGTTCTCAACTTGCAGTTTATCATCAGACTTGTTTAAAGGAGTAACACGTGCAACTTTCCACAGATCAGGGACAATACCATCGCTAATTGATCTATTCACAAGATAATTAAATTTGATTAAATTGTATTCTGCTTGAATAGACGAACAATAAACACTATGTTCCCCTTAGTCCCAGTCTTTAGTGTTTCAACTCCCGATAACTCAAACCTTTTTCAATTTCCCTTGAAGGTTCGAGTTATATATCTGGCGCAGTGCTTTTCCAAGGAATCCAATCTCATTCCCAGAGGTTACGCCTTAAATTTACAGTTTAATCAAATTAAATTTGATTCAACTGTATTCTGCTTGAATAGACGAACAATAGACACCATGTTCCCCTTAGTCCCAGTCTTTAGTATTTCAACTCCCGATAACTCAAACCTTTTTCAATTTCCCTTGAAGGTTCGAGTTATCTGGCGTAGTGCTTTTCCAAGGAATCCGATCTCATTCCCAGAGGTTATGCCTTATTATCCCTTCTTCGTTTCCCGCCCTCAAAGGATTAGGGAAGCGTGACCCCTGGAAACGAGATTGCGGGAATCATCCACAATCATGCGCGCGCAAGCTGTTTAACGTCATAATAAGATTAAGTTATTTCTCAGTAGAAAGCGAAGATGTTTGGTGCGAGGGGAAAAGTGAAGGTGTGTAATTTTGTGCACAACGACCAAATATGGTAAGTCTGACATTCTATTTTCTTTAATCGCTCATGAATTTCCCTTCTTGTTGGCGATATCAGTGCCGTGCGATTCGAATAGGGAATTTTTTTTCTAGAGTGTTATTGGTTTTAAATTGGCATAAGTGACTCGCAATTAACAGGCCCAGTGATGCGATTTCATTGCAAGAGATGGTAACTTTTGGTAACCTCTCAGCAGTTAAAAAAAAATGGCAGTCTAAGACTACATGCGGTTACTGATATAGCACAGTTTTTATAACATTGAAAAGAACAGCAGAAGGTAGTGTTGCAAAATATTTGTCTTCACATGCAAAACAGAAAACTTGCTGCATCCCATGTATTTATAAGTACCCTGTTTCACAAGAGAAAGAAGATGGTGCCAGAATGTACTGACTGATTGATATTCAACCAATGCTAAAACGGTAAAAGATTATCATATCGTGACAATGGTCATCACGATGACAAATGTAATGTAACAGTAATTCAAAGGGGCTATCTCGAAAGCCTCACGTTTCCCCTATCTTCTAAGGTTCAATAATAATTAGGCTATGCATCTTTAAATTTTGCTTGTCCTTTATAAATATGAGTTTCTTATTTTATTGCAATTTCAATTTTTGTGGCACTTTTATTTCAAACAAAAAGACATTCCGTGTTTTAGAATACTCCTTCATTCCGTCATTCCGCCGTTCCATGATTTCATTTAATAAGGCCATCTTGTAAACCGAAGGTATCGTATTTCGCAACTTCTAGTGTCCAAAATCTGAAAAAGGCCAGTGGTGGCCGAAATCCAAAATCGGCAACAAATGCTCAAAATTTAAAATCGGCCACTGGTGGCCAAAATTCGAGATCGATTACTGGTGTCCAAAATCGACCCCCATCACGATTTCCAAGGCGAAATCCCCTCTCCCATACTGATATCCTATAAACGCCGGAATTTCTTTGTACCTGGTAAAAATGTTTCTTGTATTATTTTTTTTTCTAATCGATTACAGGAAAGATCATGTAAATCGAGAACTCTTAACCCAAAGGCGATGGCCGGATAAGTGGGGATTTCTCGCGAATGAATACCTCCAGGTAAGTGTCTTCAGTAGAGTGCCCTGTACGTCACCGACCAAGAAGCTGTTACGAAAGACCAAAGTAGGGGGTCTCAGGCTAAGGGAGTTACGTCAAGACACGTTAATGAAGTAGTTTCTTTACGTGAGAGAGTTTATGACTGGGTAAAATAATACTGAGATATTACGAAACATATTCAAAAGAGCTACATTTTGATCTCTTGCGTATTTTAATGAGTGCAACCTAACAAAGCTATGACCAAATCATCAAAACACATCATAAACAAAGGGGAAAAGATCGAGGACCACAGCCAATGACAATGCCTTTGCGGGTAAACTCGCGAGGGTGAAACTTTTTTTTCATATTGGTTACTCATGCTTTCACGTAATATCTCTTGGAACATACCACACAACGTTCGTTTCATACAACGTTTCTTTCGTATCATTGCGAATTAGTTACAGCTAGAGACACTGAGAATCGGCCAAGACGAATTTGATGTGGAGGAAGAACTTAAAAAGGAGGGCGTGGTGACTAGTACAGAGAACGAAGAGGAATCAGGGACAGAACAGGCTCAGGCGTCGCCAAGCAATCCCAACAAAATGCCCTTTCCAGAGACCACATCACAAATGATTGGACGAAAGGCCGAGGTGTCGCAAAGAAACGAGATCGAACGGAATGCTCGCGGAAAGCAAGACATAGTTAAGTTATTCAAGTGGCCACGTGAGGGCGTGTAAAGGAATTAGACATCCGAAGTATAAAATACACTGCGTTGTGATCTGAATCCTTGTTGCGACTTTCTCTCACTAGTATATTAAGAGCAAAATTGGGCTTTATGAACTGAATTGATGATGTAAGTTGGCCACCGTGAACAATTTCGTCAGCGAAGGGTTAACGCTCGAGACGTCAGCTTTGAAAATCTTTACGGTGGCCATTTTACATTATCAACTCAGTTGATAAAACCCAAATTACCTTGTTACTCTCACCGACGCAGCACCACCGTTTCTATTGAAAGTTAGCCCGGCCTTTATTAAAGTTAAGCCTACCTACTCCGAAGGTTTGTTTAGCAACAAAGATATCGGCGTGTAAACGAGTCCATGTCTAGTTGGTTTCTAATTTGCGAAAACCAGGAGTTTTCCCCTCCTCCACAAATTTGATCACAAGGACAAGAAATTGGTTTCTCAAATTAGCACTATTTGAAAGATCTCTGTAAAATGCGGCAAAATTTGCCTTTATGCTCTCCAGTGAAAAACAAACGAACAACCAACCAAAGAAACATAGAAACAAAAAGGACAGACCCGAAGAGAAATCATCTTCGCCTGCGGGCAGGCTCTCATTTACATTGCCTCACGATGATCTCGCAGGTATCTGGTGTAGGAAGTCCGCAGGCTCTACCAGACCCCTCAGAGTACTCATAGACCTGAGAAGGAGTACGCCAACCAGATGCTACCTTTATCAACACTATTAATATCCATTAGATGCCTTTTCGATCGAGTGTCGTAAAACAAAAGCCAAGGTAATCACAATGGCCAATCAGAAGAAAGAAATAACTTTAAGAACCGTACAAACAAACAAACAAACAAACAGACTTCCTTAAAGCGCGGGAAAAACGCGCGTGACCAAGTTGTGATTGGCTGTAGTTTTGCATGCGATTGGGTGAGAGAGTGGTACAAGTTTTCTTGACCAATCACAGAGCGAAGTAAAATCAAGACCAGCGCAATCTCCGATTACTATCGATATCCTATTGAAAATTGCCCTATGCGGTCCAAGTAACAGTAAATGCACCCGACTGAACGAGGTTCTCTCCTCTTTTCAAGTTTCTAATTCCGTCACTCGGTGGTAGATTCATCCATGGTCGTTCTCCTTTAATAGCGTCATCTCCAAGCCATCTTGTAGAGAAAGCTCGTCGAGGCGTCTTCAGGTTGTTGCCATGAGCGCCGTGAACTGTTTTCATATGGAAAACAATGCAGTCTCCAGGCTAAAGAAAAAAAAGAAATGACTAGAGTAAAATATGCTGATCATCATCGGCTGAATGTCATAGCTCAATAGATACTTTATTTCCGTCGGGAGAAAAGTACACACATTATGAATTGAAGAAGTTTCCAGTTGCGTGATAAGGAAATCTGAGAGAGAATTGGGCCAAAGAACTGGATCTACTTTGAGGGTCTCTTCTAATGATTCTCCCTCGCGCCGTTTTTTAATTTTTTTTTGAAGACTTAAGCTATCTGGTTACTAAATTCGCAGTTAATTGCATATGGTCAATGTTGTGAAATGAAATGACGCTGCACTGTATGTCTACGTGGGCAAACCTCACGACACAGGATTGTTGATTTCTAGATCCTTCTAGGGTGTCAAAAAAGCAGTAACGATTGAGATCTGAACAAATAACTTGAGACGGGTTACCGAACTAAAAACGCCTATAAGGCAGTTTGGTTTGTTAATTTGATCGTTTCGTAGGAAATTTGAACAACGGGTTACAGTTGATCAAAGGGCGGATGACGCAATCCAACGGTCAAATCCGGGGTCAGGAGGATAATAGTAGGGGGGTGGGGTGCGGAGGGGGTTGTCTAAGGGATCACCACCTCCATGTTCCAGGACAAGACTTGATATTGGTCGTTTCCGTCAACATCTGGGGGCGAAAGAAATTCACCAGCTTGCTTTTCGTTTCCTGGCTTCATTTCGTAGGAGGTAAAGGGAGGGCCGTCAAAGTGAACAGGTTTAAAGTACTGTGGAAACTTGTGAGAACCCTTTAAAAGACGAAGACAAGTGTGTTCGGAGACTGGGTCGACTGGGAGCCACACAGAACATACCTGAGTAAACAAAGATCTTTTCATAAAAACAGAAACAAAAAAGCGACCTTCAAGGCTGCGCCAAATAATTTGATTGATTTGTTATAATGAACGTCATTATTTTGAATTTTCAGTGGTGTGGGAGCAGAGCAAGTGACGTCGGACTTTTATAGAAATATTTACCCAGATCAGAATTGTGATTCTCTATGGCAGACCTAACTGGAATATATATTAGGTAAAATTGATTCTGAGAATTTAATGTCATAGAGCAATTTCCAATCGAGCGTTAAAAGAAATCCGGGATCATTCAGGATTGCTATGGGTCCTTTGGTTTTGGTTGATTTAGAATTCGTCCCACCCCCTCGACCAATCAAATGCAAAAATAAACTGAGATCTCATTAGTTCCTTTTGACATATGCCTTTATTCTGATTGGCTGCTAAGATAAGATTGGTTTTAAGAGAAAGATGTTTTTCTTCTTGTCACGAGTAAGGGACAAAGAAAAAATTCAGAGTCCCCATGAGGAATGGAACCTCAGACCTTCGGATTCCGCGCTCCAATGCTCTACTACTCAGCCACAAATGCTTTATGGTGAGCAAGGCCTATTGCGAAGTTCATTTATGACAGGCGTCCTGCACACTGCAAGAATCGGCAATGTGGATAGCGTCATGTTTTGTTCACCGAGCTAAAAAAAAATTACCGTCTTTCTCATTCTATTTACTTTGGTTTTTGTTTGGCGATCCTCAATCGAAATCGTGTGCGCTATCAATCTTACTTTCACTAACTCGTAAAACTGCTTAGGCGCTTTAAATATTAGTCCAACACATCTTACACAGTTATAGCTCTACCGACAACACATAACGGAAAACACATACCTGCTGTCCATCGATCTCATAGTAAGCCTGATCCTGGTGCCATGGGGTTTGTTTGGTTGATCCGCTGTCTTTGACAATCACGTGATTGGAGTAAAGCGCGGCAACCTAAGAAGATTAATCAAAAAGGAAAATCTGCTGAAATTTCTCGCAAATGAACACTAAACGTCAGGCAATGATTAATGACACTAAAATCCAAAGAGGCAGGTGCTCAGGAGGAGAACTTCTAAATGCTCAATTACTGTGGTCAATGGGAGAGGAGTAAGGCGCGAGAGAAAGGTGTGATGGGATTTTTACTCCCCATTCCCCTCTCTCCATTCCCCCTTGCCCCATGTTCCTTACAGACGCCTTCCACGCAAGTTCAGTCTAATTTTCGTAGAGCATTTTCATTAAGATAATGAATGCAATCTAGAATTGCGCTGGTTTTGCTTTATTACCCACTGTATTGGTCTGGGGAAACTGCGCTATCCCCTTAAGCGAACAGATAAAAAGCTAAAAATTATTTTTTCCCCTCTTAAATGTCAACCTCATGAAATGTAAACGGGCAATCGCCTTACCGAAGATTGAAGAAGTCGTCCTGCTACTTCGCCAACAGGGGAATGGTAAATAAACTCCTCGTATTCAGGGATATTTTTCCAGTTGCCGTAGTCGTGAAAAAAGAGAGGTGTGTGGCCCTTACGTCTCGTCATTTGGGATGGGTGGAGTCTATTGAATTCAATCCCACTTCTCAAAAGATCAATCCATCTTTGACTTAAAACGGCTCGTAAGCAAATAGCGCCATCCTCTTGAAAACGGATGATTTCCTGCTCTGTAATCGTGTTGAGGGACAACCTCTCCATTTCATTATTGTGGCAGACTATAAGAAAAAAATCGAGATAAATCTTCACTGATATCTCAGAAAAGTTAACTAAACATGTCTGAGTAAAATGCTAGGTCATTTAAGGTCGATATGAGTGAGATTCATTTTTCGAAGATCACTCATCTATATGTTGCGGGACGAAAAAAAAAAAACAAACTAATTCAAGAAAAATTCTGATATGGACATGCACAACAACAACAACAACAGTAACAAACATAAACACTTTAGGTGAGTACCTCTTCACTATCCAATACAGCCAAGACACGAACTTCAAAAACAAAAAGAGATCATCGACAGAATGGGTGAAGAGGCTTCCAGAAGTTGTTTCAGCATTGAATAGTGAAGTGACCAGGCTAACCAGGAAAGAAATCTATTGACGCAATCAAAGAAAAGGTTGACGCAAAGAGTTCAACTTCTCATTCCAGACCTGTTTGCTCGAAAGAGACTCGACAAAAAAATGTGAGAAATCTCTTTGCCGCCGGCGAGCTGGACCGAGATGGTCAAACACGAGTAACAGATACAATCTGGTCTCTGAAGGTCTTCAATGTTAAGAAAACACTTCTAAATGAAGACAAGCCTGTTGTCTACTACCTGAAAGATTGGCCAAAGCCTGGGTTCGTCAGAGTAGAGCTTCAGATTTTTCCTTTTCCTCCTGAAACGCTGCCTCCTGAAGGAGTTCGTTGATTTAAAAAAAATAGATTAAAATATGAGTTTCTCGATAGACCCAAGCAGTCCTGATGAATCAGTTCAAGAAACTGATAAAGATATGAACAATAAAAATATTGTCAATCTTGCGGTGAATCCAGCTTAGAACAAAGACGCACCAAATAAGAAGTATGATGGAAAAAAAAAAACAAAACAAAACAAAACCGTCGAAAAACAAAGAACAAAAACAGAAACAACTGATTTATTCTCTATTTGGTCAAACTAGGCAAACAGAAATCTCTTCAGTGTTGAGACATTCGTTAAAGAAAAGAAACATGTTGGTATCGCACAGACCACGACTCAAACAGTGAAATATTTCATCAACATAATTTTTGTGCTATTGCTTTTGACCAATCGGGATTGAAAAACCATGCAACACTAACCAATAAAATTTCTCTCAGACCAAGAATATCCACTTAAAAAAAAAACAACAGAAGACACTTTTTCTTTTTTCATGAAAATAGACAATTTGATCTTCCTTTCTATAATTCTTATAGCTTTGGTGTCTTTAGTCATGTTAGTGTCATCAAATTATTTAAAAGAAGTACAAATGGAACAACAATATACACAAGAAATTGCTTGAAAAGAAATGGAATACTTGAAGGATTTTTCATTTCTCTTGAAAAAGATAGAGATCTCATCGTTGGTGGAGTAAGAACAAAATCAATACCATATGCTCCATTCATTGTTGTTGGAAAAAAAAATCATACAAAACACAAAGATATAATCATGAAACAGGTAATTATTATGATGATATCATTGACGTTAAACCATCAGCAGGATTCAAGACAAAAGCAAACCCAACAGAAGGAGGAAAGTGGAAAATTATTAACTGCCACTAGAATAAAGATAATGGAGATGCTCTAATAACTCCTTCTTTCTGGTGAAGTGGAAAGAAACTTGTAAACTTCACCGCTAAAAAAACTTTCCCATCACTAAATATTTGTGTGGGGAAAATTTAAAAAAAAGCAAGAGAGTAGTAATTTTCATGAGGGATTAAACTCAGACTGTCATACTCTTCTCATTTATAATGACTGTTTTGACAGAAGAACAAATCAAGGCGCATCACGCATTCTTCATGAGAAGATACAATTTGGATGCCGATCCCGTTGTATGAAACCATGACAGACTTTGAATTTCACAGGTAATGTGGTGAAATTCAGGCGTGATTAGCAATGCGGGACTTTTAATTTCACACAGTGAAGTTGTGAAATTCAAAATGAGCCAGAACTGGTTGTCTTGATGAGTTGCCAAAAATCAAGTTTGTCTCAATTTGTGAAATTAAGATTTGACTCGAAGACAACTTTTATATCAAGGTTGTCTCAAAACTGAGCCAGAATCCCCATATTACTACTAATGGTAAAGAACGCATATTTATCACCGCAAGGGATTAATCATCCTTGCCGACAATCCTCTGATTTGAGGACAAAATTTCATTGAGTCACGGTAAATGACTTCAAAAGAAAATGCAAAGCGAAAGTGTTTTACTCAAAGATGAATCAGACACTTGCGTTTGAAAAATGAACTTCGTATGTCAACATTCTTTCGGTGACAAATCAAACGATTATTCCACCAACCTTTGAACGTGTAAACAGCTCCACGAGTACACTAAAAACCGCGTAAGATTCGAGTAAAATATCTTCGTGACCAGGATGCTTTTGCTGTACCTGTCCCCGATCGCGTGACTTTGATTATTCCTTACACTTGATTACTTCCGCTTTCAGTGCATCCTTGCTTGACTCTCAAAAGAGTTCGAGGAACGGTGAAGTTGTGGCACACTTACAAAGAGTGGACATTAGAGTGAATTCCTCTAAGAAGACGCAATGTCCCAGGTAACACAGCCAAGTTCCACAGGCGACAGCGATCACAAGCCAGTAAGGTGTAACTCTTCAGATTGTTGGCGCCTTCTTCAGAAACTACGATCAGACTGTCCTTTGGTTCAGTGCATCACAAATTGTGTCGATGGACATCATGGCGAATACTCTCCTTGCAGTTGGAGCGTCCCCTGCCATGGTACACGGTGAGTTGAACATTTTAGCGTGTAGGAGAAACTAACAGAAATGAATGAGGCCGACGACAATTTTTTTGGGCGCGGAAAGTTGATCGGAGACTGTTGCAGACCACGATATTTTCCCTAGTGAAGAGAATTGTATCCAGACATAAAACAAAGTTTTCTAGTTGATAGCATAAGAGCTTTATTGTTTTAGAAGTTGAGTAGTCCCTATACGCACTAGTGGGGAACCAACTGCGAACTCCCTACCTCTTGCCGTGGTTTTTCCTCGCGACAATCTTTTGCAGGACTTTTGCCGGCGGAAAAAGTAAATGGGGAAGGATAGGTAAGGCAGAAGTCGCTTTCAACAACACTGTTTCTTTGAACTTTATAACCACTCCTGGATCCTAAATTTTTAACTCTTATACGTACCTGTGCGCAGATCCTTGAAGAATTCAACTGGAAACATGGAATCGCCGAAAAATATCAAAGTATGTAATTACGAAAAAGTCATGATAACTCGTTTCACTGGGCTGACATAAAAACTTTCATTTCATAGCTGAAGAAGAAGTGGAGGAATTTGTTACCTTGGCCTCAGCACTGCTGATCAATATTGGGACTCTCTCTACCCCTTGGATCAGGTCAATGCACAAGGCTGCAGCCAAGGCTCAAGAACTGGGGAAGCCCTGGATGTTGGACCCCGTAGGTGTGGGCGCCACCACCTTACGGACAAACACAGCTACAGACTTGGCTGTTTCTTATAAGCCCACTGTGATAAGGGGCAATCCTTCTGAGATAGTGGCTCTGGCCAAAAATATCTGCAAAGAACTTGATCTTCAGCCATCAGGTATGGGAATGATGTAAATTGCTTCAGATAAAAATTGGACAAATTGATCATTGCAAAATTCCATTCAAGAATTTTTCAATAATTAGCTATCAAGCAGCTAACCATTTTGCCTCACTCCCCAACTGCTCTCCCCAGCGAGGACAGAGTGGTTTAAGGATATGTGTGGTTTCTGGATTATAAGGTTCAGTTTTCAGCCCTGGCACAGGTCATAGTGTTGTCGTTGGGCATTACAAATAAATAAAGGCTGATAGTTTCTAAAGAAACTGTTTGGGGCTGCGTCGGTGGGGGTAAAGAAATAATTTGAATATATCAACAAAGTTGAAATGGTAAATTGGCCACCGTTACGATTATAAAAGCTGACGTTTCGAGCGTTAGCCCTTCGTCGGAGCGAATCGGGGAATTTTGGGTTGTGTGTGCTTTTAAAGGCAGAAAAAGGAGCTACGTGATTGGTGGGAACATGGCAACGAGAAAAACACGAATAAATTAATTTAGTCGTGTTTTTCTCGTTGCCATGTTCATTTATTCGTGTTTTTCTCGTTGCTATGTTCCCACCAATCACATAGCTCCTTTTTCTGCCTTTAAAAGCACACTCAACCCACAATTCCCCTATTCGCTCCGACGAAGGGCTAACGCTGGAAACGTCAGCTTTTATAATCGTAACGGTGGCCAATTTACCATTTCAACTTTGTTGATATATTCAAATTATTTGGGCATTACAGTTACCTTCAGTACCTCCTCCCACCCCACCGGTGTGAAACTGGGAACAGCCAAAACAGGAAACATAAGGCTTGAGGTGGGCTGTAATGGAGAAAAAAAAAATCTCCAAATTGGTTCCAGAAAAAGGTTTCAGCTGCTAAATGGCTTTGTCTTGTAAATAGAATTCACCGTTTGCCAAACCAGGCATCACATTTACTCCAATAGTCAAATTCCTTGTCAGCTGACATAAAGGTTGATATTTAGGGTTAACCCTCTGAACCTTAAGAGTGACTGGCATCCAATTTCTCCTTACAATATCACCCTTGAATCAAACATTAAGGTCATGAGAATAAAGCAAATGATCAGCAACTAAAGAAGCTCTTGATTTTTTTTTACCAAACACCCCCGCCATAGGAAATGTAGAGAGAACAGCCTGGAGAACTTGCATACTGGTGTTAGTTTGTAAAGGGTCAATTGAAGAAGAGGCAGTTTAAATTTAGAGATAATGGTGATCACATCCTGTTTAGAAGGAGCTCAAAAAGGAGTTGACAGTTCTCAGAGTTCTGACCATGCCCTTGTGCCTGCCAAAGCCCTGGCAGTGGAGTGCCACTGTGTTGTTGTGGTGACAGGAAAAGATGACTTTGTGACAGATGGTTCCAATGTGATCAAGGTATCTAATGGTCATCCAATCCTCACAAAGATAACTGCAGCTGGATGCACATTAACGGCTGTGCTTGCAGCATTTGTTTCTCTGGGAGATGTCACTCATGTGATGAAAAGTTGTGCTTGTGCATTGAGCATCTTTGGAATTGCAGCAGAACTGGCTGTACAAGATCCAACAGCTAAGGGGCCTGGTAGTGTCAGAATGCTAATGCTAGATACCTATGGAAGATTTAATACACAAACCTTGTGGAACATGGCCAAAATTTCCTAACTGTTAAAACCCCCAAGATCAATTTGCAAATTATTTTTTATAACTGATGTCAATGTCCATGTGAACTAGTTGAAAGACTTAAGTAAGAGGATATTGTCCATAGGATTTGAACAGAATAATTCCCATCTGCCAAAAGCATTTTTACCACCAATTCTCAGCCAGTTACCAACAATTGCTATTTGAATTGTATGGAGTTAACTCAGGAGCAATCTCTTCTCTTAGATTTATCAATATTTCACATGCCATTTAAAATGTGAAAAATTGCTTCTTTACCTTCAAGTACTAATATAGTATTAGTAGACATAACAGTCTAGTAATTAGGATAACTTAATATTAATACCATGCATTACTTTATTATTTACTTCACTGCCTTACAAGATGAACTTTACTTAAGTACCAGTACATAACATGTACTGAAATAATATTTACACCACCATACATCAGGATGACACAGTGTTGCCAGCTATTTGTTTCTCAGGCACCAAACACCATAATAAACAAAGCTGTAATCAAATAACTGTCTTAATCTAAAATGAAATTTAACCTTTGCCTCGTAGTGTTTTCATGGTAGGCTACTAACACTTATATCCAAAAATGTATGCTGTAACTAAAAGGGCAAAATTTTGCTAAAATCGTCCAACCGAGTGAATGTTCATGAATTTGACATTTTTGGCAAATTTCAGCAAATTTGTCAAAGTAAAATCAGTTTAGCAGAATTGACTGTTTGACAAATTTTAGTCAAATCTGTCAAAGCAAAATCAGCCTCATGGATTTGACGATTGTGATGAAATTTCACCATTTTTGATATTATATGCATTTCTGGACATCTCTTGCTACTAAATCTGATGACAATATTTTATTTGATCTAGGTAAATTAACCATGTATCATGGTACTTGGTAATTTCAATATCATTTGTAAGTTGTTATGTTCTAATATACTTGAGTCTGGTACATTTGAGTACATGAAAAGTTTGCTGTTTGTATGGCACATTCTACATCTTGTCCCATGTTTAAATGAAATCAGTTTACCCCTTCCATTTCACCCACGCTTTTTTAATGCTGTGATGTGGTGGGCACAGTCCTGTTGCCTTTGCTATTTATTCCCAACAACACTGATTGTCAGGGAGAAAAATAACACAAAATGATCCTATTTATTCAGCATAGGCCACAACTAGCTTATGGTGAAGTTGCTGAATCAACCGTAATTGGTTTTCTTTGACTTCCTCTAACAGCTCTTGGTCTGGCAGCTTCAGCTTGTTGTTTGGAAGGAGCTCTTCCTCTACTTGCTATGACTTTTTTCCCTGGGCTGGCTTTAGATTTCTTAGCTGTAGGAGACACACTTGTGTCCTCTGACTTACGCTTCTATAATTCACAAGAGAATAATATTTATAAACAAGAATAGGATGTAATAAAAATTAAAAATAGAAACATTTGGTGAAATACCAAAACAGTCATTTGACCATATTTTGTTAAAGGTTACATTCAGAATATTATTTTCAGTTTCTATTTATTAGGTATGAAAGCCACATAAGCATTGGCAGTGCTCCTTGTGAAAGGGTTTCTTGACCTCTACCTGTGGGGAAAAATGCCAAAAACACAAGCATGGAAGATGACTGTCTAGGGAGTAGAAAAAAAAAAAAAAACCACAATCCTTTCACACCAATGAGTGCCCAAGATAGAATTTCTCCTGATCACATCAACACAATAACAGGCAGAAAAGAGATGAGAGTAAAGAAAAATATCAATTGGGAGATTATTAGTTGATCCAATACCAAATTCTCTCAATTAACATAATAAGAATGGCAAGACATACTGTGAGGAGAATTTCTTATGAGATTTTGGGAGTGAAAGGGTTTAGAAATACCCAAGTTCAGACCTTACAAGAGTTAGCCTCACCCTTGGAGATGTTCTTTTTGCAGCATTATCCCTGGTCTCTTTTTCTTCTGAGTTATAACCATTGCAAAGATCTGCAGTGGCTGAGCTCACCTTTGTGAAATTTACATTCTTTCCATCATCTGTACATCCCCTCTTTTTAAGGCCATCTCTAAACAGCTTACGAATGTATTCATAGTTTGGTTCATCTTCATATTTCAGTGAGTTGATGTATTCCAGGTACTTCTGTATCTCAACTAGAATGAAATATGTTTGCGTATGATCATTACATAGAACCTGAGGGACAAACCATTCTCTCTCTCTCTCTAAACCCTTTAACCATAAGGGTGACCAACATCTAAGTCTAATATCATTCATGAATCAAACATGTAGGTCACCAGAATAAAGGAAATGATCACCAATTAAAAAAAATCTCTTGATTGTTAAACAAATTCTCCTTGTCAGCACCTTAGGAAATGTATAAAGAACAGTATGGAGAATATGCAGACTGATGTTGGGGAGTACAGGGTTAAAGGAGGATGGGGAAGACTTGAATGACTACCACAAAATTATGCTGCCTTTGGAGAAAAATAAATAAAATTTGAATACACCAAACCACAAGAAGTATCATGAACACTAAAATATACATGCTAATTCCTAGTGAGGAAGACCATAGAAGATCAAATTTAAGCATAGAAAACTAACCACTTACATAAAAAGAAGGCAATAAAATGAGGGGGGATGTTTGGATTGTTTTAAGCTACACTTGGCTCTTTGGGCCTTAATAATGTAACTGCTGATACCCAATATTACCTTCACCTTGATGATTGTCGTGAAAACAGTCCCTCATTAATTTTGGAATGTTTTTCATATACCTGGCAAAACAAAGAATAACCCCTTCCATCAGAAATACTTCAACTGTAATTGTATAAAAATGTGTCATATAAGCTGGATTAATAAAATAACTGGGAGAAGTTCAAAGGTTTCTTAAAGGGCCAGGCACTGAGCAAATTGACCAGTTGTGAGGACTGTTTTGCCCACCTGGTTTGACCATCTGAAGGAAAGTTTATCTTATAAAGAAGTGCAGTTCAAAAGGTTTTACCCGCCTATGAAAACCAGTTGTCTTCTGGCTGAAAACATTGACGACACCCCTAGAAGTTGTCAGGCAATAGAGACTGCACATACTTATCCTTTTCATTCTTCACATATTCCTTATTCTGAAGATTTTTTTCCCAAGGAAGTCTGTCACACAACCACTGTAGCATCACAAAACCCAGAATCTCCAAGTCACTGCGGCGAGAGGTGACTGTAAAAATCAAATCCACCGTAAAATCAACAAGTGAAGTTGCAGAGGATGGTCAAATAAGATGAACAGAACTTTGGGATTAGACATTATACCCATTAAGGAAGTGTCCCTTCAGTTTGTGCTCCCATCAATTGAGCTGTCTCCTGAATAAGTGGTCTACAAAAAAGAGATTCCACTGGCAAGAAAACTAGATCCCTTCAGGAGAAATGACCAGACCTGTCTGTAATTTGGTTTTACTTGAGTTTTGTTTGTTTCTAAATAACAACCTAATGCATGGCTTAATGTATTCCACAGACTGAGACAATTCTCCAAATTTTCAAAACCAAGTACTAACTTCTCTGTGACACTCCATCAGAGATAAAAAAACACAAGATGTTTCAACTGAGGTTAGCATGCAACTAACTGATCAGCTTACCTACACCATTATGTGCATCTCTGCTGGTAAACTCTATTGTTCCATCATGTTTTCTTTTAGGGTCTTCTTTATATTCTTTATGATTCCCATCAGGACAAAACCGATACACAAGACCATAGTCCAGCAAATACACCTGTGGAAGAAATTTTAAAACCGATACCAGAGCATTCTATAGAAGTGATCCTTTAGGTTTTGTACCCAATATCCTGAAACATGTATCTATTGTAGTAAACTATGCTGACCAAACATTGCATGCTCTGGACTCTGGATTCATGCGGCCACAAATGACATTGTGTTGTGTGTTCTTAGCAGGGTTCCTACCCTTTTTCAGAAACAAATTTCAGGGACTTTTGCGGGACTTTTCCTGGCTCAGATTAATTTTCCAATGGCTCCAAATTAAACCTTTATCCCTTTCATTCCCAAGATTTCAAAATGAATTGTCCTCCTTGCAGTCTGTACACATTTCTTATTATGTAAATTCTGAAAACTTACTGCTTGATTTAAGCAAATTTCCAGGACTATCCAGACCCTGTAGTCTTTTTCCAGGACTTTCCAGGTTTTCCAGGACCCATACAAACCCTGTCTTAGGGCAGGGCACTTATTTCTCATTGCACAAAGGAAATTAAAACCTGATCATGTCATGCTAAAGAAACTGAGTGTGATAAGCTCACACAGCTCTGCAAGTCAGTCTTGTATGCAAATATAACCAAAGCAAAAATGATTTGCAAAAACAAACAGTTTAATTCATTTCTACAAGGTTCTTATCAGGCACCAGGAATTGTCAACAGGTGCAGATGTCACTTACTTGACCAGATTTTGACTTTGAGAATCCCATCATGAGATTTGAGCCTTTAATGTCTCCATGGGTATATTCGTGACAGTGGATGTACTCCAGAGCATCAATCTGGCAACAGAAATAAAATGTTTTAAAAATCCTAGTTATGAAGCACCACTATGATGGTGAATTTCATACAAGAATTGATTGCCTTAGAAATGTTCACAGTATGGAAAAAGAATACAAAATTGCATATTACATGGCACACATTACAACTGAAATCAAAGCAACAACTCTCAAATAGGTAGAGATACTTACAACTCTTAGACCAAGCATCAACACTGTTGTCACATCAAACTTTCGGTCATTGCTTAGGAAAAGCTCGTCAACGTCCTTCCCAAACCGCTCCAGAACTAGAAATCGCAGCTTCCTGGAGCCATGTTCAAATGATCCAGATCCCAAAAACATTGGGACACCAAGATGTTTTAGATGCCGTGACTGACACCAGCTTTTTACTGATAAGAGGAAACATTTCCAGTTATAACATGTACCTTGGTGAGATTCTAACAAGCAAGACATCAACTTTTCATGCCTCAAAGTGCCTAGCATTTAAATTTTTCCCAAAATTATTACCCAGAATCAAAACACAAATGTCATGAGAATAAGAGAAACAATCACTAGCTTTAAAAAGATCTTGATTGTCATAGAAATTCTCCTTGTTGATACCAGAGGAGAAGTATAAAGAATAGCATGAAGAATATCCAAACTAATATTAGGCTGTGAAGGGTTCATGATCCAAACTTAAGGGACATGTACTTCTTTCTCTACAGCAGATTTTGCAAGGGGACAACTTGACTCTAAGTATGTTCATTTTCTCTCATATTAAATGAAGCCCCTCAACCATTCATAAATTAACACCTAATCATATCCTGAAAAAGAGGAAGAGCTATAAACAATTTCAGAGACATGATGTTTAATTAATAAGAGGCAGTTTTTAAATTCAAGAGTTCTTTGACATACTTAGTTCTGGTTTAGCCACACGCTGATAAAATGCAAGTTCTGTAAATAAAGGGCCATTTGCATGTGGCTCCTGTAGAAAAGGAAAGAATATCACAGTTGAATTGCCTTAGGAAGCAAACAATCTCAATTCTCTATCTAGGTTCATGTTCCATAATAACGCACAACTTAATCTATCTTTTCGCCTTTTCACTTATTTAACATTTGAATCATAGTTTCTTTTTCAGGGCTTGACACTTACTTTTCAACTTACCAGCCAAGCAGCTAGTGACAGCTTAGATGTTACAACAATTTCAATTTGTTTACTAACTAAACTGGCTAGTAGAAATAAAAAAACCATTAGCCAAAACTGAATTTCTACTAGTCTGTGGCCTATTGCGAGTGTCAAACCCCTGTTTTTAATACTTTGAACGTAATAGAAATAAATATTCATTTTTTTTGCAAACAATTATTTACAATTTTAAACCATTATATCTAATTATTTACAAATTTTAAAAGAATTAAAATTAATATTCACAATAGAAAACTAATTACAATATGTGAGAAAAGAAAAAATTTAGCATTACTAAATAGGAAAAAACTATCAATATAAAGACCTAAAATTATGAGTGTAGGTGAAGACCAGCTACAGTGAGGGTGAAGTCTTCTGAGACCTCCCGTGATTTAAATGGAACTCTAGAACCTCTTATGCACAGGTGTACAGTTTTTAATGTAGCAAATGAAAGTTGTATTCGTAGCCAGGAAATGACGCTGGTGTAGGGTTCATTATTCTTGTTTGAAAGCTTATTTGCGAGAGTTCTCAAAAAGTTCTGACAGTCAAGTCCCATGCCTCCGTTTGTACCAAACACCAACAGTGTAAAAGTTCCCATTTCCACATCCATCACTCTCTGGTTGTACTTTCTCTTCTTCTCATTTTCTTGCTCTTTGAAAATTGTAGCTGTGGACTTGCCCTGGTTGGACCTGGAGTTAACATGCGTTACATGTACGTCAAAAAATGCTGTTACTCCTGTTGTTCAAAAGCCTCCTGCCTTTATGTCCAGCCTTGCTTCTCGACTTGTGACAGTTGACTGAAGGTTAAAAATTTCATTGTCAAGTGGTTGCAGGAGTGGCTCTGTCTCCACATTTCTGCACACTTTACTGATGTGCAATGTCAGTAGATCTCGGATAGTATTGTGTCTCTAGGCAACAAAACCTCCCTTCTTGCATAATGAAGCATGGTTGACAGAAATGATTTCTCCACAAGCACAGTAGCTGGAGAGATTAGGCAGAGGGATGTTGTAGCGGAGGCAAAGTGAGTCCCTAAACTCCAGCTTGTTTAAAGCCAGTCCATGTTCTTTGATCAGAGTGCTGTTTAGCCAAGAGCTGGCTCCCTTGTCTCTTGCACCGATTGGAACAGATCAGGAGATAACGATTTGTCAATCCTGCCAATCAGGGACTTCGCAGAGGCTCTCCTTTGAACGTTGATTTCATGCTTTGTTTCCTCCATCAACTCTCGTGCTGGAATGGTGGAGCTTTGAGTAAGAATAGAATTGATGTGTAGTGCTGTTATATCACACAAGGCTTTGAACTGCTCTGGACTTTCACACTTAGATCAGGAATCCCAATCTTGCCCTGCCCAGGTGATAGATTGACAAGTTCATTAACTTCTTCAGGGAGGGGCTCCGCTTGCCCGAATAATGAAGGAAGAAAGGAAGTGGGAATCACTTCTTCGATGGCGTCCACATACTCTTCAAACGATTCTATGGTGTGCAAGTAATAAGTGAATTTTGATTTAAATCCTTTAGTGAAAGTGACATAGGCAGCATGGGGCTGACTCTTGCTGATCTCTGCAAGGAACTCCATTTCTTTGAGCCACTTATCAACTTTCTCTTGACAATATTGATCCTTAAACTCTTTTGATCCGATGACTGCACCAAGATGACGTCGTCCCCCGAACGTTATGTTCACTTTATTGCCAAACACCTTTACATTCTTTACCAGATCACTGGTCTTAACAATTAATCAGCTTTTAGCACCATTAATGATATAGCCAAATTTTCTCCCTTCCTCACATAAACTCTTGTACCATTGATAGAGTGACTCAATACTCTCTCCACCTGCGGAGTCATCCGCCAGTCAGACTTGCCTGACTTGGGGAGTTGATGCCCTGAGACTAGTGATCATGTGAATGCTGTTAATTGCATACCAAGGCATTCCTAGCGGGTCACCTTGGGTAGTACCCTCTTCAGAAAGGATCTCACCTCCGCCATTAATGAACAGTCTAGAGGGGCTTCTATATGTGCAGGACTGTGCTCTAGCAGCACCCAGTGGCCCCTGGCACCTTACTTTTGCTCTTGGGCGGCTCAGGAATCTTAGGTTTTTCATATAAAGCATATGCTGGGCACCCTGGATTTCACAGTTTCAGAGCACTGGGCTCCCTTCAATTTTTCTTAGAGCACAGCCTTGATGTGTTAATGATATATATATATATATATATATATGGCAATTTCTTTACATGTGATCTAAATGTTATGCATGGCCACCGCCCTCTTCACCTGATTGAAAGCGTTAGTTGCATCAGTTTTTTTTAACATAATTGATTTTCCACTGACTCATGACTAATGACAGGATGGTATTGTCCAAGTGACTATTGATGCAATTAGCTGATGAGACATTCAGATATCTGACAAACTCTTACCACTTTAACAACATGTTCAGCAGTTTCATTAACAGGTGATCCACTGTCAGGGGAAGCTGTTAATGATAAAAATAATTGTCTGTGTGATTACTGTGATCAGTTCAGATTTTATTCTATGTGATTAACAATACTTTGACCCCATCTTACAGAGAATACAAAATACAAAGAGGATTTGTGAGATGTTTCATAGTGTGAAATACACCCATCTGCCTTTAACCCTGAAATCCTAAGGCTAAAGATGCCGTCTCTTCTCGAACTCTCTCCTTTCGCCAGTTTCTGGCAAGCACTGTGTAGGACGAGAATTGAAAAGTGCCACTTTTACATTGTGGATTCAAAATTTGTGTTTAGAGGACTGAAGTTGACTGAAGTTTTTTGCTGAGCAGTTATTTTCCCCCTTTTTTTTGTTTCAAGAGGAAGATCAGTTGGCTAAACTGCACAATACCTGGCCACTCATTTACATGTGATTCAATAAAAAATAGCGTCTATTGTGTTATGCCTTGTTGTTCAAAGCCTTGCGACAGATGTAAATGAGGTAGCTGGGTATTCTGAGGCTGCTTCCATCAGCAAGTTACAAGGGAGTTACAATATGTTCTTTTTTTAAGAAAAACTTTACAAAAGTACTGCATTATTACCCTTAGGACTAAAAAACCAGCAACATTGTACAAGAAGACTACCCTATCCATAGCTAGTGGTGTCAAGTTTATTAAAATTGTCATTTTTAATTGGACTTAAGGTATTTATTTTTTCTGTGCTCTGGAAGGGGGTAGAAAGGGACTCATGACTGCTGTGGAGGGTATCCTGGGTAATGCGTAAGAAATAGAAACCCAAAAATTTTCCCTGCATCATTTACCACATACTTCCTCACCTACCCTGCATATAACCCTCATCTGCGGCCTTTTCTCTTCATAGTTCACCAATGCAATGCCAACATCGCACTGTGTTAAGTTAATGTGGAATTAATTTCGGAAAAACCATACAAGTAGCTCACATATCAGAAATAGTTTACCTAAGTAAAGTGCTCCAAAGCCACCCCATGCTAACAACCTTCCCAACCGCCACTTTTTCTTGGTAAGATCCGTCAAGACGATTCCTGGTGGCAATTCAACCATTCCTCGGGGCTTACGAGGTTGCTTCTTCACGGGTACAGGTGCACTGGTGGTGGGCGCCTTCCTTTTCCCTGGCCTAGCCTTGCGCATGTTGCGTTAGGTTATAATTTGACAAGTTATTTCTTCCGCTCTTCGTCCACATCAGTGGGAAAACTTCGCCTGAGCGGTCGCCAAGCCTTTCGATTTCCCGCCATCCGGTATATCCATTTATGGCAAAGTTTACCAAATTTGGAGAATTATCCACGAGATACAAAGATCGTTGGGAGCCACTGCACATCCTTTCCATGTGGCATTGACTGTGTTTGCGGATACTTTGGACTCCGTCTTTGTGCGATTGAGGTAATAATCCATTCAATGTATTTAGTATTGCATTAGCTCTGCGTAAGAGAGAGTCTAAATCCATTTTTAAGTCCACTATGGCGACGATCGATGATTATGCTTGGGCTTCAGTAAACGCTGACTCGGCTTACTTCCGCCCTTTATAACTTGTTTGGGAAACTGAGCCTTTAATCACCTCAATTTACCCAAGAATCGTCAAGCACTGCAGAGTCTTTATCTAGGTATAAGAATTTTCGAATTTTTTATGTAATTAGCGTCGATCTGTCAGCTCTGAAGATGGATCAACGGTGCCAGCACTCAAACAAGAGCGCTAACTAGCCGTGCCGGATGTCGAAAGTTCTTTAGATAGGTATGAAACCAAAATACCGACCTTAGCTTACAAGGACATTTAAGTCTTTACCAAGCAAACCAGGTACACCCATCAGTTATCAACTCATATATTGATCGAGATTTTTCGCATGATGCACGCTTGCATATTATGCTCTTCGAGGGAGGCTAGTTAATCCCGCGTAGTAGCGTTCATTACATGTGCTCCTAACTGATGTTCTTAATTTAAAAACAGTTCCTCTTACCAATGAGGTACTGCAGCTCAACGAATTAATTTTTTTTTCTTTTGATTTTAAATTTCGCGCAAACTAATTCGAAGGTATTTCTTTTAAATGTCCAAAATTTTAATCTCCGAAATTTCTCTTAATATTCTGATATCTTTAAGTCCGACG